GCTACTTCTTGAGCTCTCCAAGGCTCTCGGGCTGCACACTGACCGCCGCGTCCTTCTGAAGAATGTCCCGCGAGTCGATGGTGTCCGCCAGCTGTCAGTTTTGCGATTCACAGATGCCCCCCCCCCTGCGCCATCGCTGCTGAATCGATTCCGCGGGTCTCGGAACTATTGTTTGAATCGCGCGTGTCGGGGGTCATCTCGGGCGCCAGCGAAGAAGGCGTTTACCCCCCCTCACCCACCCACACGGCAGCCTCAAAACGATTGTTGGTCATAAAGGCATTGTCTTAGTGATCTGATACCGCATCATGTCGTGTCGGAGTTCAACCATGTCTCGGGCTGGACCTTCTTGGCCGACAGTTCATGATAATGAGTGCCAAGCTGGACGATCTCCGCGCCGAGCTGACTGCGCTTGATCGTGAGCTCGCCATGCCGCTTCTTCTCGGGAGCTCGCTCACTCCACGCTTGATCGCGAGCACGCCCTCCCGCTTCTGCCTGCCCGCCTTGCCGCGCAGATGACAATAACTCGTCCAAGATTGTGGACCTTGAGTTGGGTTGTTTCTGCGCTGGCTCAAGGTCATGTTTCTCTGCGCTCCTCGGTAGACGCATCGCTGATTGCGTTCCATCCTGGCACACCTGCACCAGCGATCTCGAAGCGTTTGACCAGGGCGCTTAGGCACGGCGGCCTTTGGCAGGGGCGGCACTGTGGACACCGCTGCCGCCAGTTTCACCTCGGCGAACCCATGGTTGTGAAGGTGGCTTGTCGCAATCGAGGCGGACGCCGAGCTTCGAATAGCTAAGAGCCCCGACACCAAGAGGGCGGCGAGGTTGAATGCCAGGACGAAGAACACGAAGAGGCGAGTGGTACACCATGCGCCACGTGAGACAGGGCTTGTTCTTCTCGCAAACGACGAAGACACGGCATGCACAAACACGTTCGGAGCTCCGCGCGGATCTGCGCGCGGGCCCCCCAAGGCGGCGCCCCCGGCGCCGCCCCTGGCGCGCTCCGCGCGGCAGGGAGGGCGGCCCTGCGGCGATCCGAGAGATCCGCGCGATTTTTCAAACGTTTATGTTAAGGGCGCTTGATAAGGAATGTACCAGGAGGCCCCACACCTTGGATTCCTTATCTGATGAGGTCGGCGGTGATATCCATGGCCAATCCACGATTGGTGTTGCACCAGCTTCCAGACCCTGGATTCCTTTTCCAACTGTTCCTTCTCCAACGCCCCACCCGTGGCCCTGGGCTGCGGCGCGGGGCCCGATTGCGGCGCTGGTGCTCACCCTTCAGCGCGTTGGTTGGCGCAGGAGGCGCCCGACTACAGGACGAGCATGGATGCCAGGTCGACGTCGCCTCCTACCCCCCCTTGCTTCCTGGCGGAGCGGGTGCGCGAGGCGACGCGCAAGGCTGCAGCTCTTGAGGAGGCTAGAGCCCGCCCTGGGTCTCTCTGGTCTTGGAGGCTGCCGCCCGCCTGGAGGCCCATCAATGAGCTTCTAGGCCGCGCAGGCTCCGAGGTTTGGGCTAGCCACCACAAGGGCTGCCTTCGCTGGCTGGCCTCGCGCTGGCGCACTGGCCCCTGGCGCGGCTGGCTAGGCACCAGGAGGACGTCAACCCTCTCTGTCTGCAGTGCCAAAACGACGAGGGCGCGATGTTCCACAGGCGCTTCGTTTGCCCCGCGCGGCATTCATGGCGTAGGGACAGGTTGCCCCCCCGCCTCCTGGAGGCGGCCCATGCGACTAACAGCATGAGGCCGCTCTTCGGCGAGCTGTTCGCCCAGGGCCTGTTCGTGGACGCCTCCAGCCTGGTGCAGAGGCCGCGTTGGCAACCGCCGTGGGCTTGGCGACACATTGGCTGGGAGAGCCGCATGGTCGTTCCAGAGGGCACGATGGCGTTCACCGACGGTTCCTGCATCCACGGGAAGTTCCATACACTGCGCAGCGCGGGCTGGGCGGCCATCGTGATCTCGCCCAGCGGCCAGTTGCTGGCCCAGGCGTGGGGCGCCGTCTCGCCTGAGCTGCTTGCCGAACCAGTCGGCGCGAGCAGGCGAGGACTACGCGGCAGTGCTGGCATTGGAGGGCATCGTGGGCTCCTACACGATCTACAGCGACTGCAAGGGCACTGTTAGACTGCATCGAGGACCGGGCCAGAGACTGCCCCCCCGCCTCCTTTCACGCCCCCCTCCGGGCTCGAGTGGGCGACGCAGCGGAGGGGGCGTCGGCCAAGCGCATCCCTGCCTGCACCGCAGAGGCAGCGGTGGCCGCAGGCAAGACCACCGCCCTGGAGCGCGACGGCAACATGATGGGCGCGCCAAGGAAGGGGCGGCCCTGCAGGCGGCATCGGACGACGATGCCTTGGTGCCGGAGGGCTTGCAGTCGCGGGCCCGAGAGGCCGCGCGCTTCGCCGCCGAGACGGAGGTCCACATGTCTGACAGCGGGTGCCGCGACTGCTGGCCCGTCGAAGCGCTCGACGTCCTCGACCTCGGCTCCATGGACGACTGCGCGGAGATGGCCGAGGTGGAGACCAGCATTGCGCAGCGCCCTGGGGCGGCGGCGGCTGCAGGCGCGGCCGCGCCGACGGCGGTTGCTGCGGCGAGCGCGGGGCCGCGCGCAGCCAGCGCCCTGCAGTTGAAGGCGAAGGCGACTGGCACGGTGGCAGCGGCTCGCGCGGCCTGCCAAAGGGCCGCTGCAGCCCCGCCGCCCAGCCCGCTGGTCCAGGGCGTGGGCGACGAGTCGCCAGGTGAGGCCATGCGCAGGGTCGCCCGCAGGCTCCAGCAAGAGAGAGAGAGAGAGAGAGAACAAAAAAAAAAGCAGCTGGCGCAGACGGCACCGCCTCGACCAGCTGGTGAGGGCGCGGCGCGGGTGGCTCAGACCGCCGGCATCCAGTCGGCGGCGCCCCAGCTTGCAGCGGTCGCGCCAGCCTCGCCCGCGCCGGGCGCCGCCGCCAGCATTCCAGCAGGCCGCCTCGGGCCGTGGGAGGTCCTCGGGCTCATGCTGATGCAGGGCCAGGTGCTCGACATGAGCTCCGAGCCCTTCATGGTGTGCACCTCGTGTTACCTGTATGCGAGGGCGCCCAAAATGGCGTGGCATGGCCTGCGAGACCCGTGCAAGGGCGCCAACAAGCGGGCCAAAACAGGGTCGCGGGCCCAGGCACGCAACGACCTGGGCAAGAACCTGTTGCCTGGGACCAAGGAGCCCATAGGCGCCCTGCAGGCCCCGACGGCGGCCACGCGCCAGCGCTGGGCCGAGAAACTGGGCACCAACACAGGAGCGGGAGGCGCGGCGTGGGTGACCGCCAGCGAGCCTGCAGGCGCGGGCGTCGGCGCCCAGTCGGGCGGAGGGGCTGCGGCCAGCGCGGAACCCGAGGGGCCCGTGCGGCAGGCGCTTGCCGTTGGGGCCGCCGTCGGCGCTGCTAGGCAGCGGCTCGTCGGCGAAACGGTCATCGCGCCGCCGCTCGAGAGTGTAGCCAGGTCGCACGGCTTCACGCCCTTGGAGGAGGCGCGGGACCGCGGGCGCTTGGCTCGCGAGCAGAGGGCGGCAGCGGCGCGCGGGGACACTGGGCCCCAGGAAGACGAGCCCTAGTCAGTGGGTTTGTTCCTGGGGGCCCGCCCGCGCCTGTACAAGTTATTAAATCACAGGTTGGTCCGCTCACCCTCGAAGAGTTTAATATATATATGTATATATACATATATGTATGTATGTATGTTGTATGTATGTATGTATGTGTGTATGTATGTATGTATGTATGTATATATATATATGTTAGTGTTCATATACATATATAGATGTGTGTATATATATGTATGCACGAATATGAAAATCAAGAAAATGCCGCCACCGTATGGCTGTGCCATGTCCTGCGCCTGTCCCTCGCCTACGGGCGCTGCACGCTGCGCTCGCCGTGCAGCAGGCAGGCACGAGGACGGAGCTGAGACCTCAGCGAGACCAGCGGACGGGATCGGGACCCGTTCAGATGGTCGAGGTCTGCCGCGGATCGGCGGTATCTATGTAGGCCACACGGGGGTGTTGCATCCCACGCCAAAGCGGCTACGGAGCAGGAGGAGGCAGAGAAGGAGGAGGAGGACAAAGGAGGAGGACGAGGAGGACGAGGGCGCCGGCGAGGGCGACGTCGAAGAGAGCAGCGAAGAGGAATTCAGCCTCCCTGTGTCGGGTGCGGATGAGACCTGGAGCACGAGGGGGAGGATAAGGAAGACGACGAGGACAAGGACGATGACGAATACGACAACGACGAGGACCCAAGCTTCCCCTGACACTTGCTTCAGAACATAAACGGCTTACGGGGACTTCGCAGGCCAATCGAGGTACGTGCAGCGTGCAGCTAAGTACGAGCATGAAGCCATTTCCAGGGACATCTGGATCGGGGACGTTCCAGCGCCAGCCGGGAGCCAGCAAACGTCGCTCCGCCCTCATCGTCCCCCCTTTGCCTGTCCTCCTCCCTCCTCCCTCTTATCTCCTCGTGCTCACTTGGTGATGCCTCATTTTCAAGAAGAACACGGACTCTGTCCCAAATCAGCGTCTTACCTACCGACCGACCGACCTACCTACCTATTTCCCCGTGCTCTCTGCGTCAGGGTGTCGTGGCTTCCCCGCCGCCTCCCTCCGCCCAGCGGGTGCGTCATTGGCCAGACGCCGACGAGGACGACGACGCATGGGATCACGACGGGGCACAGGACGAGGCGGAGAACGAGGAGGAGGAGGACGAGGACGAGGAGGGAGGTGTCCACTGGCAGCAGCTCTGAGGATCCACATGCCAGTAGTATCAGTATCCGGGAGGTGGCAGAAGTGGTGGATCCTCGTGAAGGCTAGTGCGTCTCCCCCCCCTGGGCAGAGGTCAGATCATTGCATGACCTATCAGTGCGATCCTGTGCACCCAGCGTTGGTCAATAATGAAAGGAGGCGGAAGAGGAGGAGGAGGAGGAGGAGGAGGAGGAGGAGGGCAACGAAGAGGGCTCCAGCCTCCCTGTGCGGGGAGGGGAGGGGGGGGCGAGGACGACCTGGCTGGCGGCGAGAAGGCGGCGAACGCCTCCGAGGTGCTGCGACCATTGGACGGCGCGCGCGCGCGCGCGGGGGGGTCCTCATCTCAGGCGTTCGCAAGCATGGATTTCGGGGGCGTGGATTAGCGACGGGTCCCATTTCCATTGGGAATCGCGGATTTCCGCCGCCGAACGAGGCGGCACCGGCCGCATTATGGGGAGGGCGCCTCCCCCGATCCATGGATTTGGCGACCGCGCGCCAAATCCATGGATCGCTAATCCATGTTTGCGCGCCCCCGATCATCTCGTTTCGTCGGAGGCCTGAAGGTTGGCACGAACACCAATATCGGCGGTGTGCCTCTACCCAGGAAAGGTGATCCCGATCTCGGCAATGGGGGGGTAAGGTTCGGGGTTCGTGGGTGGCCAAGTTCATTATCACCAGCGCCAAGATCTAGAATCATCTTCCCCGCTGGATGCCACCCTTGTGCTCTTGGTGGTGCCCAAATCCAAGCCTCTCTTCCCCCGCCCCTCTCAGGGACGGCGAGAAGGATGTTGTTGGTTGCTCGCCGAGATTATACTCGGATCAGCGCGGGGGTTGCTAAGAGGATGGGGGGATACAGATACATTGTAAGTTGAGTCGAATATGGCCGAAACTAGCCTGTAAGTGGGTGACAAGTTCTCCAAATGGCGTAGGGGGGGTTTGACATCCGTGCTAAAGTGGGCGGAGCCCACTTAGCGTGGTTACATTGACCCATGTGTTGGCGTTTTAGGAGATTGTCAACTTGCTTATAAGCCGTTAAGAGGAAGACCTCCGCAAGCGCCGAAGGATTTTCGCAACGAGGTTGGGAGGAGAGCAGAGTGGAGGAAGAAGTGGATCAGACGAGGAGGAAAGGAGGTGTCAGAGGAGATGGATGCAAAGGCGATCGCGGACCCCCGAGGGCCGAGTTTGGGGGGCACCATGCCGGGAGCGAGCAGACCACGTTGGGCCCGCTGCCTCCGCCGCCGGCAGCGGCAGCATCGCCGCCGGCGGCGGCCGGCGGTGTTGGCGACTTCGGCGACGCTGCCGACGGCCCAGCAATCCGATGTCGTTGGGCGTCGTTGAATGGGGTGGGGGGGTGGAGAAAGGTGCCCAGACATGATCACGCCGTTAAAAGATCACGACAGAAGGTTGTGGGCAATTTTCGGCCTTTTGGGGCCATCGCCGGGCCCCAGGACCGTCAAACACGACTGAGGATGAAAAACAGGCCCAGGGGAAAGGGTCAGGATTTCTGGGGGCCGCGTACGGAAAACATCGGAACATCACATGTTTGGGTGCACTTCTCGGTCTCGAAAGGCCCCCTTTGGAGCCCTAAAGGGCCCCGTCAGGGGCCCTAGAGGGCCCCTTTTCTGCAGCCCTCGCTCCCCCCCCCCCCCCATCCATCGCCCCCCATTACGCGACGCCCAAAGTCGTGATTTTTAGCCCCGCGCAGAGGGGGTATGGGGGATGGGAGAAGAGTTCGCAGAAGCACCCCCCTGCCTCTCAGAAGCAGCGGGCCTCCTCTGCAGGTGCAGAGGTGCAGGGCCGGCGACTTCTGAAATGCAGCCTCCTGGGAAGCTTGCCCCCCTCTCTCGTCCCCCCTGTCACGTGGACCCCAGGAGGTCTGGATCCCTTCCCCGGGACCAGCCTTTCATAACACACGCCGAGCCGCTTTTTTTGACGGGCCCAGGGCCCGGCGAGGGCCCCCGCGGAGGCCGAGAGTTCCCAGAGTTGCGAAGAACTTCCGCCTCGAGTTCAACTCGGATCGGCGCGGGGAGTGCTAAGAGGATAGGGTCTTTCAGTGGATGCAAAGGTGTGGACCATATCTGGCCACACCTGGCTTATGTCGGCCACGCGCAGGGGGGGCGGTTGGGGGGGGGATGGCTTCTTAGAAGGCGCGTACCTTTTCTGTAGGTGTAAGGCCGGCGCCTTCTACGAAGCAGCCTTCTTCTAAGAAGTTGTCCCTTCTCCCCTACCCACTCTGCGCGCCGCCAGTTATGCGGAGGTTACTAGTGCTCTGAGTTGTTGGTGGAGAGTTGGATACATCCGCCCGCCCACTTAGCCCAGGTCGTTACCACTTTAAGCCACCCGGGGCACTTGCTTCCCACTCAAAAGCCAGATTAGACCGGATATAGCCCACCGTGGCATCCATTGATAATCTTCTTGTCCCCCTCAGCAACCCCCGCGACAATCCAAAATGCGGTGGAGGTTGGGGGAGCCGCTGGGGTGCGCTTTGTATTGAGATGTTGACCAGGCAGTTCGCTCCTCCCCCCTCCCCGTCGTTTCCTTTTCAAACTTCGTTGAGCCGAAAAGGCGTGCAAGTGAGTCCCGGTTTGCGTGAAGTCCTGATTCCCCTTCGAGCCACGCCCCCCTTCCCTTATCGGGCCCCGAGGCCAGCAAGAGCGGATCAGGACCGAGGGACTAAACCTCCCGTGGAAGCAGTCTGGACCTTGGCGGCCGCCGCCATTTTCGGTATCGTCTCGGCTACACCAAGAGCGACCCTTCGCAGGAGTGACCTTGGTGCGGGCCCACAGAAGCTCGCCCAGCACCGGCCAGCGCGCTTGGATATAGCCCCTTTGGCGGCCCCCGAGGGCCACGCACCAGGGGGCTGCTCTCGCCCCCAGGGTCGCCCTCGCATGCAGTCGAGGTCCCCCCTGCGGGGGCGCGAAGCCACGCGCGCCGCGGCAGCGCCCTCACAGACGGCCGCGCGGGGGCGCGAGGAGGCGCAGAGAAGCACGCGTCGCGCCTGGCGGGGCGCGATGCGCGCAATCGGGTGGCCTAGCTAGCCGTTCGCCGGCGGCGGCGCCGAAGCCGCCTCCGCCCTCGGTGCGTCGCGCCCTTCTCCCTCCCTCCTCCCTCCCTCCTCCCTCCTTCCCTCCCTCCTGCTTTTCCTCTTCCTCTTCCTCCCCCTTCCTCCTTCCTCCTTCCTCTTTCCTCCTTCGTCCTCCTGCCTTCCTCCTTCCCCGTCGCGGGCTCTCGCTGGCGGCGTTTCGCCGAGGCCGCCGCCGCTCGACGCGCGCGGGGCTCGCCCGCGCGAGGCGTCGGCGCGGGCCTCTGCGCGAGCCTCGTGCTCAGCGGCTGCCTCGGCGCGCTGCCGCCCTGCGAGGCGCGCCTCTGCCGCCGGCTTTCGGCGCCGCCGGCCAGCCGCGTCTGCCTGCCGCGTCGGGAGAGGACGAGAACGAGGACGAGGACGAGGGGGAGGGGGACTTGGAAGGGGAGGAGGAGGAGGAGGAGGAGGAGGAGGAGGAGGAGGAGGAGGAGGAGGAGGAGGAGGAGGAGGAGAGTCCGTAGCCATTTTGGCTCAAGCCTACCTGGGCGCGTGGCAGGAGGAACGCGCCGTGCCTCTCCCTGTAGAACCCTGTCATCTCGGCAGGCACAGAGAGCGGCTCAGTCTCTTTCCCCCTGCGCGCGCGCGGATCATGGCTACGGGGGGCGGCCGCACCAGCAGCTGGTTGCCCGGACCACTCCGTACCGACGAGGCGGCCGCCGCAGGGCCGTCTGCGGCTCGGCGCGCGGCCCGAGCGCGTGCCCGTCTGGCCTGCGAGGCGGCCCTCCGCAGGGCCCTCGGCAGCAAGGACCACGCGCCGGGGTCCTGGCGGGACCGCGAGCTCGCGACCAGCGCTCCAGGCCCTTGCATCTCGCAGAAGGGTGCCAGGCGCCGCGCGTCGGAGGCGCAACGCGGCATGGCACGCCGCAGACGCCCCGGAGGGAGGCTTCACGCACGCCACCCAGGCTGCGCTTGCCAAGGCGGCGGCGGGCCCCCGCCTCGGACGGCCGAGCCTCCCTGGGACCAACTACAAGTACATCGTCGTGAAGGTACCACCGGGCTGCTGGACCGCCTCGCCGCTGACACCTCTGACTGGAGCCGCCGCAGAGGCCGCCCATCACGGCGCGCGGAGCGTGCCTGGCGTCGCCTACCGACGGACGCCAACCTCTCCTAGGTGGCGGAGCGGGCGCTCCGCGCGGCCGTCGCGCGCTGGAACCGGGAATACGAGGACGACGGCTACGACGGCTACAACCACGGCGACCCCGACGGCTACGACGGCTACGACCACGACAGCTACGACCACGGGGACCCAGACCAGTCCGAGGATGCGGAGGGGTCGCCCTTCGTGGAGGCGTTCGGGATGACGGAGGACGGCTACCACGACAACGGCGGCTACGATTGCACCGACGAGCGCGGCTACGTCGGCAACAGCGACCTCCGCTCCTACGACGGCTGGCGGCCGAGCCTCCGCCCCCCGCCCAGCAAGAAGGAGGTGGAGGACGAAATGCGGAGAGCACGATCGGCCACTGAGAAGATAAGAGTACGATTCCGACGCGGACCCAGAGGACCACGAGAGCTACGACGGCTGCGACTACGGCGGCTACGACGGCTACGACAGCGAGACCCACCAGGCGCTGCACCGCACGAACAGGGAGCTTGATGGGGAGAGCGCGGTCGACAGCTTCGTCATACCAAGTACCCGCAGCCCAGAAGTTCTTCCGGCGACAAAAGAGCTGCGCACTTTTTGATAACTGCTCCGGAGCCAAAAAGGCTGTTGAAGCAAGAGCTTGTCAAAAAAAGCTGTGGCCTACATTTTGGCTTCGGATGACACCGATCAGCCAAAAAGGCTGTGCTGCAATTCTAGTAGTAGTAGTAGTAGTAGTAGTAGTAGTAGTAGTAGTAGTAGTAGTAGTAGTAGTAGTATAGTAGTACAGTAGTAGTAGTAGTAGTAGTAGTAGTAGTAGTAGTAGTAGTAGTAGTAGTAGTAGTAGAAGTAGTAGTAGTGGAAGCAGTAGTAGTAGTAGTAGCAGCAGTAGTAGTAGTAGTAGTAGTATTTAGTAGTAGTAGTAGTTAGTAGTAGTAGGTAGTAGTAGTAGTACGTAGGGGTAGTGGTAGTAGTAGAAGTAGTAGAAGTAGTAGAAGTAGTAGTAAGAGTAATAGTAGTAGTAGTATATAGTAGTAGTAGTTAGTAGTAGTAGTAGTAGTATAGTAGTAGTAGTAGTAGTAGTAGTAGTAGTAGTAGTAGTAGTGTTAGTAGTAGTAGTAGTGTAGTAGTAGTAGTAGTAGTAGTAGTAGTAGTAGTGTAGTAGTAGTAGTAGTAGTAGTAGTAGTAGTAGTAGTAGTAGTAGTAGTAGTAGTAGTAGTAGTAGTAGTAGTAGTAGTAGTAGTAGTAGAATTTGATTTACAGCGTAGTTGCATAGCGCAGCATAGCATGGCGAAGCATAGCATAGCGACGCATAGCATAGCAAAGCATAGCAAATAATAGCAAGGTATATCAAAGCATTGCGCCGCTGTCGTGTGTCCACGGCCGTCGATCGCGGTCGTCCGTCTGCGGTCGGTCGGCCAGCGCAGCCCGCGCTGGCCCGAGCTGCGAGCGCTGCCAGCGCAGCCAGCGCAGCCAGCCAGCGCGGCCCGCGCGGGTCGCGGCATGGAGGACGAGTCGCCGTCTCAGGGCGAGGCCTGGCTGGAGGGCCGCAGCCTGGCGTGCCAGGCCATCCTGTCGCACGGAGAAAAAGGAGCTAGGAGAGGGGGGAGGAGGAGGAGGAGGGGGAGGAGGAGGAGGAGGGGCCGGGGAGGAGGAGGAGGAGGGAGGAGGAGGAGGAAGATGAGGAGGAGGAGGTTGGAGGAGAGGGAGAGGAGAAGGAGGAGGAGGAGGAGGAGGAGGAGGAGTCTGCGATGAGTTTCGAATACTCCTGCGGAGATTGCGAGAGGTCGCAGGAGGCCTGAGTTTCGATTGCGTATGTCTCTGGGGCAGCGATCGTGCATGTCTATAAAGCAGGCCATTTCGGGGCGCACGGCCGCCCATCACACTCTACGCCCACACTCGCACTTCACACTCGCACTGCACACTCGCACCCCGCACTTCCCCCCACACTCACCCCCGCGCTCTACGCCCACACTCGCACTTCACACTCGCGCTGCGCACTCGCACCCCGCACTCGCACCCCACGCTCTACGCCCGCACTCGCAATCCACACTCGCACTTCGCACTCGCACCCCGCACTCGCACCCCGCACTCTACGCCCGCACTAACCCAGCGCAGTCACCCAACAGAGTCACCCAACACAGTCAGTCAACACAGTAGCCCAACACAGTAGCCCAACACAGTAGCGCAACACAGTCGCCCAACGCAGTCACCCAACACAGTGGCCCAACACAGTAGCCCAACACAGTCGCCCAACGCAGTCAACAGACACAGTCACCTGACGCAGTCACCCAACACAGCCACCCAACACAGTCGATCAACACAGCCGCCCAACACAGTCGTCCAACGCAGTCACCCATCAGTGTCACCCAACACAGTCAGTCAACACAGTAGCCCAACACAGTCGCCCAACACAGTAGCTCAACACAGTCGCCCAACGCAGTCACCCAGCACAGTCGCCCAACACAGTAGCTCAACACAGTCGCCCAACGCAGTCACCAGACACGGTCACCTGACGCAGTCATCCAACACAGTCGCCCATTAAAGTCACCCAATACAGTTGCCCACGCAGTCACCCAACAGAGTCACCCAACAGAGTCACCCAACGCAGTCAGTCAACACAGTAACCCAACACAGTAGCCCAACAGAGTAGCGCAACACAGGCGCCCAACGCAGTCACCCAACACAGTAGCCCAACACAGTAGCCCAACACAGTCGTCCAACGCAGTCAACAGACACAGTCACCTGACGCAGTCACCCAACAGAGTCACCCAACACAGTCGATCAACACAGCCGCCCAACACAGTCGCCCAGAGCAGCCACACAACACATTTACCCAGCGCAGCCACCAAACACAGTCACCCAATGCAGTCGCCCACTCAATTCGGCGCCCCTGCAAAAATCGGTTGAAGCCGATTGTCTGGTTCCTATGTGGATATCTGCGCTTCTGAGCCAGCTAAAAGAAGCACTCGCGCATCCGAGGACGGCGGTGACCCAGTCCACAAAGCTGCTCGTGCCCCACTGGCCGATCCGATCCAGAAACGGTTCCCAAACGAATTGCCCCGTTCGCCTCTTCAGAGGCCCCCCTGGCTACCTCGGGGGGGAGGAGGAGGAGGAGGAGGAGGAGGAGGAGGAGGAGGAGGAGGAGGAGGAGGAGGAGGAGGAGGGGGGGGAGCAGGAGGAGGAGCAGGAAGAGGAGTAGGAGGAGCAGGAGGAGGTGGGGGAGGGGGTGGAGGAGGGGACGAGGAGAAGCGGAGGAGGAGAAAGAAGGTGAAGGAAGTGCAGGAATTGGAGGAGTGAGGGGTACGGGGGACGACGAGGAGGACGAATACGGGGAACAGGGGGCAAGAGGAGGGATGACGATCTCCTCCCATCCCCCCGCCCGCGCCATTCTTTGACGCTTCGCGTGTCCCCGCCAGCTCATCCATCAACGATGCCCAGGCAGGGTGTCTATTTGGGGCGGTGTTACGCATATCATGATTGAAGGAGGCCGGTAATGATGAAGTTTGAGACCTGGGGCCCTCCCCAGGCCCTCGGGGGCTTTCTTGGGGCCGGCATGAAGGCCATCAATCAATGAAGAGAGGTACTCAATATCAGTCCCCCCGCTGGGGTCCGACAAAGCATCTCTTGTGACCCTCATGTGGCGCTCTCGGGTGCAATTGGGGCCGCCTTGGAACCCTTCTGGGCCCGTCGGGCTCTTTCGGGCCATCGTAGCGCTTCGGGGGCCCGTCGGAGGCGAACAATCGAAAAGGCAAACAACGTTTAACAAAACACCATTTGAAGGGTGATGACATATTCGGGGTACCCTTGAGAAGCTCCGTTGACACTTGGAGTCGCATTGGAACGGTTTTGGGCATCTTGGAGGCATTCCGCCCCCTCGACGGCCATATTTAGCGATCAGGGGTCCTCTTGAAATCATCCTGCGCCGTCCTTGTCGCTCTAAATCTTCGCGCCCCTCCCGGCCAGGCCCAGGGGCAAGGTGCCCCCCCCCTCCCCAAAGGGGAAGGATGTTGCAAACGCGAATTATTGACGCTTCGCGTATCCCCTCAAGCCCACCCAACAACGATGCACAGGCGAGTTGAGGTGTTGTTGTGAGGGGTTCGCGGAGGTCTCTTGGAGCTATCTTGGGGCTCTCTTGGGGTCCTCTTGGGGTCCTCTTGGTGTCCTCTTGGGGCCCTCTTGGGGCCCTCTTGGG